GGGAGCATAAACCAAGCAAATATTGCGTCAGCCAGAAAAATGATCGGATAGATTACGAGAATCCCTTTTAAATCCAGGGATCCCATCACAATGGTTGTACTGTACTCTTCAAATCACTTGTAATTACCTAAGTGTAATTACCTAAGTGTAGTTACAGGATGAGAGCTACGCTCGTGGTGTCCCGTCTTCCCAGCACTCTTTGTCATATAACGCTTTGAAACTACTGACGGTCTTGGCCTCCACCACCTTCTCACTTAACTTGTTCCAACCGTCTACCACTCTATTTGCGAAGGTGAATTTTCTTATATTTCTTCGGCATCTGTGTTTAGCTAGTTTAAATCTATGACCTCTTGTTCTTGAAATTCCAGGTCTCAGGAAGTCTTCCCTGTCGATTTTATCAATTCCTGTTACTATTTTGTATGTAGTGATCATATCACCTCTTTTTCTTCTGTCTTCTAGTTTTGGCATATTTAATGCTTCTAACCTCTCCTCGTAGCTCTTGCCCTTCAGTTCTGGGAGCCACTTAGTAGCATGTCTTTGCACCTTTTCCAGTTTGTTGATGTGCTTCTTAAGATATGGGCACCACACAACAGCTGCATATTCTAGCTTTGGCCTAACAAAAGTCATGAACAATTTCTTTAGTATATCGCCATCCATGTATTTAAATGCAATTCTGAAGTTAGAAAGCATAGCATAGGCTCCTTGCACAATATTCTTTATGTGGTCCTCAGGTGATAGTTTTCTATCTAGAACCACTCCTAGATCTCTTTCTTTATCAGAATTCTTTAAAGATTTCTCACATAATATATAGGTTGTGTGGGGTCTATGTTCTCCTATTCCACATTCCATAACATGACATTTATTAACATTAAATTCCATTTGCCAAGTGGTGCTCCATATACTTATTTTGTCCAGGTCTTCTTGAAGGGCATGACAGTCATCTAAATTTCTTATCCTTCCTATTATCTTAGCATCATCAGCAAACATGTTCATATAATTCTGTATACCAACTGGTAGATCATTTATGTACACAATAAACATCACTGGTGCAAGAACTGAACCCTGTGGTACTCCACTTGTGACATTTCTCCATTCCGATACATTGCCTCTGATTACTGCCCTCATTTTTCTATCAGTCAGAAAATTTTTCATCCATGATAGAAGCTTACCTGTCACCCCTCCAATATTTTCCAGTTTCCAGAACAACCTCTTATGTGGAACTCTGTCGAAAGCCTTTTTTAGGTCCAGATAGATGCAGTCAACCCAACCATCTCTTTCCTGTAATATCTCTGTGGCTCGATCATAGAAACTGAGTAAATTCGATACACAGGATCTTCCAGATCGAAAACCATACTGTCTGTCTGATATTATATAATTTCTCTCTAGGTGTTCTACCCATTTAGTTTTGATTAGTTTTTCCAATACTTTCACTATTACACTTGTCAATGATACAGGTCTATAATTGAGGGGGTCTTCCCTGCTGCCACTTTTGTAGATTGGAACTATGTTAGCCTGTTTCCACCCGTCTGCTACGATTCCTGTACACAGGGATGCCTGAAAGATCAGGTGAAGTGGAATGCTGAGCTCAGATGCACATTCTCTCAGAACCCATGGTGAAACGCCATCTGGGCCAGCTGCTTTGTTCTTACCGAGCTCCTTGAGCATTTTTTCCACTTCGTCTCTAGACACCTCTATGTGTTCTATGTTGTTCTCTGGAATTCTTATTGTATCTGGTTCCCTAAAGATTTCATTTTGTACAAACACACTTTGGAACTTTTCGTTTAGTGTTTCACACATTTCCTTTTCATCTTCCGTGAATCTATTTCCCATTTTCAACCTCTGAATATTATCCTTTACCTGCAATTTGTTGTTTATGAATTTATAGAATAGACCTGGTTCTGTTTTACATTTGTCCGCAATCCCTTTTTCAAAATTTCTTTCTGCCTCTCTCCTCACTGCCGTGTAATTGTTTCTCGCATCTTTGTATCGCTGGTATGTTTGGGGGTTCGGCCTCTTCCTGTATTGATTCCATTTTTGTGTCTTTCGGTCTCTAGCCCTCTCGCAATTTCTATTGAACCAATCCTGTTTCCTAGTTCTGCATCTCTGTTTTGGTATAAATTTTTTTGTGCCTTTATCATATATTTCACAAAACTTGCCATACATCTCATTCACTTCCTTGCCTAGCATCAAGTCTGTCCAATTATACTCACTAAAAAAATTTCTAAGGTCACCATAATGTCCTCTCCTGAAGTCTGGTTTTTCAACTGCTTCAACCTCCTTATTTTCTTCCAGCTTATAACGCATTGCATACTTTATTCCCAAAAAGACATGGTCACTTTTACCCAAACTTGTGCTGTGCTGTCTTTGAGTACTGCTCAGTACTCACTTCCCCTTCAGAGCAGGAGAGATTGCTGAAATAGAGGGAATACAGAGAACATATACGGCATACATAGATGCAATAAAGCACCTAAATTATTGGGATTGTCTCGAAGCTCTCCAAATGTACTCGCTGAAAAGAAGACGAGAGAGAGATCAAATAATATACACGTGAAAGATACTGGAGGGCCAGGTCCCAAATCTACACAGTAAAATAACAACATACTGGAGTGAACGATATGGAAGAAAATGCAGAATAGAACCGGTGGAGAGCAGGGGTGCCATAGGCACAATCAGAGAACACTGTATAAACATCAGAGGTCCGCGGTTGTTCAACATCCTCCCAGCGAGCATAAGAAATATTGCTGGAACAACCGTGGACATCTTCAAGAGAAAACTAGATAATTTTCTCCAAGGAGTACCGGACCAACCGGACTGTGGTGAATATGCGGGCCTGTGGGTTGTTGTAAGCAACAGCCTGGTGGACCAAACTCTCACAAGTCAAGTCTGGCCTCGGGCCGGGCTTGGGGAGAACAACAACTCCCAGAACCCCATCAACCAAGTATCAACCAGACCAAAATTGAAATATGCAGCAGTTGTATGGTGCCCCAAGCTCTGCCCATATCTCAAGAAGCACATCAATAAACTGGAAAAGGTGCAAAGGCATTATTGAAAATCGATTCCAGAACTGAAAGACAAGAGTTACGAGGAGAGGCTCAAGGCGTTAAATATGCCAAAACTAGAAGATAGAGGAAAAAGAGGTGATAGGGTCACTACTGTACTTATAAAAATAATAATAGGAATTGACCAAATTGACAGAGTAACTCCTGAAATCAGCAGCCTCAAGAACAAGAGGGGACAGATTCAAGCTAAGGAAACAAAGGTGCAAAAAATATTAGAAAGTTTTCTTTTGTACACAGTGGTAGACGGTTGGAACAGATTAAGTGAGGTGGTGGTGGAGGCCAAAATGGTCGGTAGTTTCAAAGCATTATATGACGAGTACTGGGAAGACGGGACACCACAAGTGTAGCTCTCATCCTGTAACTCACTTGGGTAATTACAACTAGGTGAGTACAGAGCAAGAGTTTGAGTCACGTTTGTATTGATACCATCTCACATGGATGTTGTCCAGCATGATGACACAGACAAGGCAGCTAAAACTGCATGTGATAAGCCTGAAATTAAGTTGGATATGGGCATTCTAATCTGTTGCAAAAACCACAGTATTTCAGGAAATTAGGGATGGCAGAAGAACAGTTACTGACACTTGTAGGGCAGAAAGCACAAGTGTAGAGAATTATGTTGTTTAGAACCGAGAACTACAAGTACAGGCAGCACTTAAAATCCAGTAGACGGTATGACATTGTAATTGCCAGAATTCGCCTGGAATATTGATATCTGTGGCAGGAGGCTGTAGGTAATGAATCCCCCAATGGTGAGCATTCTAATTCCATTGTGTTATTCTACTCTCCTTGAATAACATACCATTCCTGGACTTTGATTCATAAAGCAGTTACGCAAGCACCTGCAAACCTGTACATCTTTTCTCAATCTTTCGTGACTTTGTTTACAATTATTTAACAGTTAATGAGCTCTGAAGCACCAGGAGGCTGTTTATAACAATAACAACAGTTGATTGGGAAGTTTTCGTGCTTGGAAACTATTTATTAAATGTAATCAAAGTCGTCAAAGATTGAGGAAAGATGTACACGTTTGTAAGTACTTGCATAACTGCTTCGTGAATCTGGGCCCTGGTTCCCTGGTGTTCCTGTGTGTATCCAGAGCTGAGGGGGGGGGGTGGAGAGAGGTCCCAGGTACTGTACTTTGGGGACTGTTTGGTAGCTTGTTTCTTGGGAACCACAGTATGATCTCATACTATGGAAATTGTAGTAAAATGTGTTGGTACTCTTTAGTGGTGTTATTTTTTTAATGCACCTCACATAACATAGGTCCACCTAGAATGTCGATACCTTTCTCAAGTGTACATACACATGCTTCTTAGCCATGTAACTTTTAATCCATAATAAAATGTGTTTTGACCTATTCTTCTTAAACTTTGAAATTGCAGTAAGAATCCAAATTCCAGCAACTCAAATTTTTGCATAGTTTGAATAAATTTGAGTTTGAACTTTCGACTGCTATACTTGAATAAAGATTCAAAATACAGTACTGTACTGAGATTTGTGGTGAATGGAAACCTGAATAAATTAAAAATTGTACATTTTTTAACTTTCCATGTGAAAATTTGGCCGATTTGAATTGTGGTGGGCTCCATATTTGAATTATGGAGCATAGAAAGAAAAGTATTATTAATTCATTATTGTACAATGATATTAAAAAACCCTAAAAATTTTCAGAGTAAGATCCTTAAAATATGTACAGTACAGAATTACATTTGACTCCAAGGTCAGAAGTCCAGTTTGACTCTGGATCTCATTATAGTATATAGATATTATGATATAGATCCTATACACACAGTACCAAGCTTATCAATTCTGAATGTTGTTTCTCAAAATAAATATTCAACCACTTATCACCTCCCATTGCAAATCTAATATTTGTCACAGGTGTGTGTAACGCCAATGAAGCAAAAATAGTTTTATTTATTGAATGTTATTCTTCAGCTGTTTTGGGACAGCGACGATCATCAACCCGCAAGAGTACGCAGGAGAACAAGTGTGTCTGTTTCTTTTAAGGGGGCCACAAGTCCCAGGTCAGCAACCAGCAGGTCTCCAGGTAAGATAATGTCCTAAAATATAGTGAAATGTAGAAAGAATAAATGAAATGATGACATTAAGATAGAATAAAAAATAATATTTGTAGAAACAGTTGATTTATATAAAGAATGCATGGGAAAGAAAACAACCATGCTGTGCTATCAAAATTTTAGAGTTGGGGGGGGGGGGGCCCCATTGGTTGCTCTCACCGAAAAAACTAGTTTGTAGGTACAGTATAGTGAACAATTCAAAACTCCTGCTGGTACACAGGGCTCACATCATGTTCCTCAGGCCTTTAGTAAACAGCTGCCATCTTGAAAAAAAAAATGGTTTGCGTCACTCCTGGCTGTGAGAGCCTCGGTACTGCCAGAGTAACCAAGACGTGCAGTTACAGGAGGAGAGCTACACTCGTGGTGTCTCGTTTCTCAGCAAGTTTTGTCATATGGTGCATGCAGCAGGAGCTTACAGCACGACTGTGCAGGTTGGCGGCCACACCACCATGTAATAATTGTGAATAAAGTAAGTAACTGCAATTAACTGCAGTTATTTTGCAATTATAGTGTCATAGATGATACTGACAAATAAAAATGATGTACAGTACAAGGTTCAGATATCTGTGAACACAATGCTATGATGATCACAGTTGGAGGCAGAGTTCGAAGTATACATCCGAGGTTTCCTCTATCTACTCATCAAGCCATTTGACTTCATGTTCCTTTAGAAAATAAACTTGGAAAATTATTCATATTTATGATTTAGTAATAGGAATGTGATGATGATAGCAGTGTTGTGGCTAGACTTAGTGATGTGTAGTGGACTGAAGGCATTTTGCTGCATCGGGTGACATCTTCTGCTGATGTGTGCTCATAGCGTGTGGCTGTATACTGTGCTTGGATTTCATTACCACATCCACCAGAATTACTTGGTGGTTCATTATGGTCGATAAAAATACTGTATAGATTTATATGAAGTGTGTATATAGTGAAATTAAATAACAAAATTCCCATGCAAGGAATTTGGCATTTGGGTGCCAAAGCATACAAAAGTCTGCGTGAAGAATGTACAGTACCTCTGGGGAGGGTCAGGACAACGACCACTCTAGGAAGACATTGCAAACGACTACAATAGAGGGAAAAAAAATCACAAATGCTAAAGCAGATACTGTCTCTGTCACAACAAAGAAAAATATATCTAAACAATGAGATTGAAGAAATGGAGTAGATGCTGAAGTGATCATACCTGTCTGAGGAAATGAAATTCGAACAGAAAAGTATATAAGAGATAAAGAAAAATCCAAGATGTTTTTTCACGTGTGTGAAGTCAAAATCCAAAACCTCTATCGGGATTGGACATATACTTACAAGGGAGGTTCACACACACAGGATGAAACAAATTATTGTCTTAAAATACCATTATGAGGCTATGTTTAGCACCCAAATAAACAACATAAAGTTAAAGAGCCGGGCAGCTTTTTTATGAACAATATACGAACCCCCTGACCATATAACTTATTAACACAAGCTCACAAAACTTTGAAAGAGAAATTGAGAACATGCCCATACACCCGGTCCTGGGTCTGGACTCCTGGAATTCAGTATTCGGGAAGAAATGTTAAATTCCAGTAGAACTAGCACTCGGTGTAATATGGTGGAAAAGCTTGGATATGGGAGATTCTGGAAGCACTTAAATTGACAGATATAGCTCCACTACACAAGGGAGGTAGTAAGATCTTGGCAAAAATCTATAGACCCATAGCATTATGGTCTCACATAATTCAAGTTTTTGAATGAGTGATTAGGAATCAAATCTCCAGTTTTATGGAGATTTTACAACTTTTTGAGATTTTTCATTGAACTTTACAACCCAAATCAACATGGATTCAGAGCAGGATGATCCTGTCTTTTGCAATTACTCAACCACTATGAAAATCACATTGGAGACAGAAAATCCTTCGGGAATCAGGGTGAAAGATCTGGGAGTTGATAACACTCCAGACCTGTTTCCTGAAGCCCACATAAAAAAATACCATCAGCAGCATATGCAAGGCTGGTAAACATAAGAACTGCCTTTAGACACTTGTGTAAGGAATCATTCAGAAACTTGTATACCTCATATGTCAGACCAATACTGGAGTTTGTGGCTCTAGTATGGAATCTAGATATAGCCAAACACAAAAGGAAGTTAGAAAAAGTTTAGAGATATGCCACCAGGTGAGCCCTCAAGCTGAGGGGCATGAGCTACGAGGAAAGACTACTAGAACTAAACCTCACAACAATGGAAGACAGAAGAGTTAGGGAAGACATGATCACCACCTATAAAATTCTCAGAGGAATGGACAGGGTAGATAAAGATAAACTATTTAGAATGGGTGGTATGCAAACAAGGGGGGGGGCAGGTGAAAACTTAGTACCTAAATGAGCCACAGAGGTATTAAAAAGAAGTTTTTCAGTGTCAGTAGTTAACATTAGAAAGTGATGTTGTGGAGGCAAACTCCATACACAATTTCAAATGTATATATGATAGTCAAATAGGCTCAGGAACCTCTACACCAGTTGATTGACAGTTGAGAATCAGGACCAGAGAGCTGGAGCTCAACCACTGCAAGCTTAACTAGGTGAGAACTATGACAAAATCACAGAAGCATTAGAAGAAAATTCCAAATGCAGATGTAATATGCACATGCTTAGCAAAAACTTTTGACAAATGTGACCATGGTGTTATTGTGCACAAAATGCATTCAAAAGGAATTGCTGGCAAAGTAGGGGGATGAATTTTTAACTTCCTAATAAACAGAATGCAGAGTGTAAATAGTCAAAACGGAAAAAATCTGGCTCATCCACCATGGAAAAACTCAGTTCCCCAAGGTACCGTACTTGCATCAATAACTTTTCTCTTCCTTATATTAGACATAGACAAGGATACAAACTATTGTACTGTATCATCATTTGCAGATGACACTAGAATTTTTTTGTGAGTAGACAGTGTAAAGGACTCTGATGTTAATCAGGTCTTTCAATAGGCCACAGATAATATGTTTAATGAAGAGAAGATTCGCTCCGGCACTATGGTGAAAACAAAATATAAAAACGGAGACCAGATATAAATACCACAGTCAAATCACACTGTAGAATGAAAAAGCATTGTAAAGGATCAAGAAGTAATAATGTTGGAAGACCTAACCTTTTAAAGAACACAAGAAAGTAGCTGTCATGAATGCAAGAAAAATGGCAGGTTAGATAACAAGAACCTTTCAAACGAGATGCCATATCAATGATACTTTTTCAGATAACATTGCTCTGAAGGGTGGAATATTGTTGCATACTAACAGCCCCATTGAAAGCCAGAAAAATTGCTGACCTTGAGAGCACACAAAGATCCTTTGCTTCTAGAATCCACTCTATAAAACATATAAATTACTGGGACCAATTGAATGTTCTAAATCTATTCTCTAGAGTGCAGGCAATATAGATACATAATAATTTACATATGGAAAATGTTAGAGGGACTGGTTCTGAATCTGCACATGGAGATAACATCACATGACACCAGTAAGCATGCCAGGATGTGCAAAAGAGCCTCACAGAAATCCAAAGGTGCAATATGTATACAATAAGTATGCCAATTGAGAGCTCTCTCATCATCAAAGGCCCAAGACTTTTCAACATTTCTGCTACACATGGGGGGGCATAACTGGCATCTCACGGTGTTAAAGAGAGAACTCGATAAATGCCTCTAAAGGATACCTGATCATACGTCAGGCTGCGAGCAGCCGTGTCCAACAGCCTGGTTGACCAGATGACCAACCAGGAAGCCTTGTTAGAGACCTGGCTGCAGGGATGTGGATCGTAGAAACTACCACAAGGTATGTTCATCTACTGTATTATAATTACTGTGTGTTCATCAAATGTGAAGGATGGGAAATTGAATGTAGCTAAAATTAGCTTATGTAGGTATTTTTCTTTTTTAAATGCAGGGCCCCCTAAAGATGAAACTGTGATGAAGGCCAAGGGTGAATCTACCTCACAACAGCTTGCTCGTATGTCTGTCGAGTCTAGTGAAGAAAGTGAAAAAGGTAAGATGCGACTAAAGTGAATGTATAGCACACAGTACGTAGAGTATATAAAACACCAGTAGTCTTGCTGGGATTTAGTGTGTTGTCAACACATCTGTGCTCTCCCAGAGAATTTAAGGCTTTTGAGTATTATTTACCTACATATACCTGAAATGCATTAATTAATAAATATTAAAATGTTTAAGAATGTTAGTAGTATTGTACTATATTATGAATATCTGACTCACTGAAGTGCTATATGTAACCATTTCAGTATAATAATTTAGTGGTGTGTAGGGTTGTGTTTAAAGAGCAGAGATGTTTGTGTACCTGGAGCCCTTGCCAAACCAACCAGTTAGGGTGTGTGTGAGAGTGCATTCGTTCATTTGGTGAGAGAGAACACTACTACTATAACCACACAACCATGAGATAAGATCCTCTTATCTCATGGTTCTGTGGTTTCTTAAACTGTTATTGCTAGTCAGTTTTTTATTTTGATCAGTAGGTTTATTGCTAGCCATGATAAATGTAGATATGTTAACAGATTCAATAATAATTGCATTATAGCTACTTTTCTTGAGTGAGCAGGATAGTGGATATATCCATTCATATAACTGAACATACTGTACTTGTAAATGTACAATGCTATACAGTCTATATTAATGTACGTACAGTATTGTAAATACTGTATATACAAAATTGTAATTAAAATTGTGTAATCTTGCCATAACACAACAGGTGGGAGCCAAGAGCAGATATGGAAATGTTCTCATTTGTCAGTGTAATCAAGTACCGTAGTGGTATTTATACATGATATTTTGCACTCAACACCAGCTAGTGTTGTTATAGGTTGTCCAACTGTCATGTTTTTTTGCATTGTATTGTATGGAAGCCAAAATTTGAACCAGTTGTTTATCTTATCACTTATGTTTCCATGAACTGTACATGTTAAAGCATGTGAACAGTATAGCCTTATGGTTAATGTTCCTTGCTTTTGGTGCATTACAACCTTTGGCTCGGACTTAGCAACTGGGAGCCTGTCAAAATTTCTGTACTCTAAAGGCAATTCAGCCAAGAGAGGTAATACAGTACTGTGCCTGAAATTGAAGAAAAATGTTGCCAGCATTTGTGTAGACCCTTTAAGCTCTATTAAAATCTTACAATTTTAATGGTGGCTGTTTTCAGGGCCTAAGAGATTGGAAAATTGCCAGATGTTTTATTTTATGAAAGTCCTGGAGAATTCTTTGAAATTTGTGGTGAGGTTTATAGGTAGGTAAAAATTCATATTTGAAGGATGTTCCTTCAAATTCATCTAATGATTCAAGGAATCATTCTTTGAATTCCTTGAATGAATGATTCCATTACCTATTAAAATCTACAATGATCGATACAAAATTTAAGTTTACTATTTTAGCCATTCTAAATTGCTGTAAATATTAAGGTACTGTATACTCCAGGCAAGTTACCAAATTTGTTTATTGCATACAGTATGTCCTGGAACAAAGGTGTGTGTGTGCATAGTTTCTGAGTGTGGTCGTGTAGCTATCTACCTACCTTCCTTGTGGCTACCCTGTGGCGGTTCTGGGGGTCAACGGCCCTGCGGACTAGTCTCCGATCAGGCCTCCTGGTTGGTCGTTTGGTCAACCAGGCTGTTGGACTACTGGACACATGTAAGCTGATCCCCATGTACATGAACAAAATTCATGACTAACATGATTGGTCAGTGTAAATTGAAAGTGGTTTGATTAGAGGAAAATTAAGGACAAAGAAGGATTACGGTATATTGCTGAGGTTAACCATTTATCTGTGGGGAAAGCCTTCTCCCTATGAGCTGTTGTTTGTGAGATTAGCTGTGATGGAAAGAGCTTGAGGTAGCTATCTAAACATGATCCATGATTCACTTGTACTGACCTGTATAACAGTGATCTTGCTTCTTGCACGGTTGGCTTTTAATCTCTGCTTGCTTGAGTGGCTGGGTACCACTCCTTCGCTCCATCCTCATCCCAGCCTTTTGTCCTCGTATCCCTTCCAAGTTCTACTAGCTCAGCGCTGCTCTTAATAATTACCATATCTCTGCCTACAGTATCTGTAAATTCCCGAAACATTGCACACCATTTCTGTTGACCCACTACAATCGTAACTTCGTGCCATATCTGACCTTCCTGTTATACCATTTGTTCTTAACATTTAGCTGATGCTTATTTCATCTCCCTAGTATCACATTTATTTTTTCTGGCATATAGTTTAACAACCTTATTACACACAGAAATCACAATAGTGTGATGCATCAAATGAACAAATCCACAAGGGGCCATGATGAGGGTTTGAACCTACCTCTGAGAGGATCCCAGATGCGTCTTAATCGATTGTACCACAACACTGTAAAAGAATTGCAACTGGGAGTTCATCTGCCCCTCACACGGATCCTGCACTCTCTCCGAGAGACAAATCAGGGTTTTACACACTTCCCCTGTGCACCTGGGCTCTGCCAATAAGCTGTTCCTCATCACCCTTACTTCATTACACACACAAATCACAATAGTGCGATGCATGAAATGAACAAATCCGCGACTGTGTGCGCCGATTCTCAAGAAGGCGATGTCTTTGTTCTTTGCTTCTCGCCTTGCGTGCCAGCAGGCTGTGCTCGCTCTCTTTAGAATCTGCTTGGGCCCTGGCTCAAGTGGATTCTCAGAGGAATTAACTTTGATAATTTTATTAGAGAGTATTAGTTAGGGGAGTTCTAATAAACAATTTAGCATGAGTGGTATGCGAACAAGGGGACACAGGTAAAAATTTGGTACCCAAATGAGCCGCAAGGACATTAGAAAAGCTTTTTCAGTGTCAAGGTAGTTAACAAATCGAATGCATTAGGCAGTGATGTGGTGGAAACAGACTTCTTACAGTTTCAAACGTAGATGTGATAGCCCAATAGGCTCAGGAACCTGTACACCAGTTAATTGAGAATTGAGAGGCAGGACCAAAGTGCTGAAGAAGCTCAAGCTCTGCAAGCACAACTAGGTGAGTACACAGGTGTTGAGAAAGGATAGCTCCTTAGGGCTAGATTCCATTGTAAAACCCAAATCTTGGTGGACACCTTTAGCACATGTGTAAAAATGCTTGACCTCTACCTCTCTGCCTGCCATTACACCAAAAATGTCATCAATATATCTGAAGTAAATGAGGGGCTGGGGTATACATCCTGCATTGTTCCTCGAAGGCTGATAGCAAGGCATATTATAGTTGAGAGTTGACCAGACCACACACTAGAAATTGAAGGGACGACGACGTTTCGGTCCGTCCTGGACCATTCTCAAGTCGATTGTGATGAGGACAGGTAGGGACAGGCATTAAATAGGCAAGAGAGAGCTGAGGAGGAAAGTCAGGTGTAGGGGATAGTAGTAATGAGAACTGCAGCAGGCCTATTGGCCCATACGTCGTCGAAACGTCGTTGGACGGACCGAAACGTCGTCGTCCCTTCAATTTCTAGTGTGTGGTCTGGTCAACATACTTCAGCCACGTTATTGTGACTCATCGCCTGCTTATAGTTGAGAGCTTATAGTGAGGTCAGCCCCATGGTCGAACAACTGACCCTTCCCAGGATTCAACCCCACAAGGTACCTATATTCTAGACGAGCCTCCTGGGTACCTATTTACTGCTGATGAACACACACATTAGGCAATAGGAAATGTGCCCAACCATTTCTGTCTCTTCTGTGATTCAAATATGGAATTCCCGATGATGAGTCGAGAATGATTCCAGTGTACTAATGGGGACCCTAAGTATTATAAATATAGCCAATAACAATAATGACAATTGTTTATTTTAAAGGGGGTATGGGATTATATATCTAAGAGGGATAGTGTGATTTAATCGAATATTACAAATAAAAATTATGTTTGAATCTTCATTTTCTAATAAAATTAAGCTCAAATTAACTTTATACATGGCAATATACATTCCCAGTGCATTGCATAACATGATGTATAAGAAATAAGCATACTCGCCAAGAAATCTTATGTATTTAAGTTGCAAAAGGATTTTTTCCTCCGCCATTTCTTAATCTTATTTATTTGTGTTTTAGACTTTGTTTTAATTTTCTGATAAAAAAAACAGTGCCTCTACCATATTTACCAATAAGAATGAGTGCATAGCACTCTTAATGGTGAGGGAGTTTTGAACAGGAACTTATTATTCTCGACAGATTTAGATCTACTGCATCGCTTGCCGTTTTCCTCTAATGCCGTGAAACAGCTGGAGTTGCCAAGCCCTAACTACTGTTCTGAAGGTGAGATGTTGACAAATGTGACAGGTTGTCGAAACTCTTGTTTCGATGCATTTAGCAAAACTCGACTGTCACACTGAATGACTCTTTTTGTGAAGTGTTCCTTGCTTATTGTAGCGGAGGGTTCGTGTTGCTCAGAATTGACATTTGATAATTTTCCTAAATGGGCACATTCTTGGAAAGTAGTTATTGTTGTGGCCATGGTTGATTTAATTTTAAATTTTGCCTTGAATCACTGTAAGAAAATGCTGTAAGCTGTTGCTGTAAGAAAATTTACAAATATTTGGTGATAAATTATGAAAGGCACAATATTAACAAATTCGCATTAGGCCAGGATCACTGGTCTACATCTTGGGCTCACAATGAAGGACCCGGGTTCAATCCCTGGGCAGGACAGGAATGGTTTGGCATGTTTCCCTTAACCTGATGCACGGTTTACTTAGCAGTTAAAAAGGTACAACGAAGTTATGCAATTGTTTCAAGTTGCATACTGGGGACTTTGATATGTCAGAGTACAGGCTTCTGTTCCCCACAATGGCACTTGTATAGTCCAGATTTTGGAAGCGCTACTGTATTTAGGTAATTTAGGTAAACAATTTGATGTTATAAAAAAGCAGATTAACCCATGTGTGGCTGTCATCAGTACAGTATTATCACCCTGTATACCTGTCTTATATATAGTACGTGTTGATGATTCAGAGGATCAATGTCCCCACGGCCCAGTCTCTGATCAGGCCTCCTGGTTGATGGTCTGGTCAACCAGGCTGTTTCATGCAACTGCTCACAGCCTGACATGCAAGTCTCAGCCTGATTGATCAGGTATCCTTTGAAGAATGTCAGGAATAACACCAGTATCTTGGCTCCATCTCCAAAATATTTTTAGGACCTGTGTCCAACATGTTTTCCTTGTGAATCATGGTTAGCAAGTTCACTTAATGTCTTCCTTCCACTTGAGTGTCAGCTTGTCGGATTTCCTATACTGACATTCACCAATAGCGATGCTTGGTTCAAACAAGGGCATTTGCTTCCTTCATGGCTTCACTCCACACATTGCATTCAAGCAAGCAAGTGGACAGGATGGAGCTGGTACAGTATAATAGTTATCAGTGTACAGAATGTGCCCCATGGTCAGCAATGGTGCCATCAGTGCCTTCACTACAGTGCCAGGAAAATCAATGTGGATAATTTTTTTTTATTATACGTCTACTGTACATTGGTGGCAGAGTATGGGATAATTTCTATGATGAGTCCTGTCTGTCACAAAAGATGAATTTTTCAGGCTCCACTTGTGCTACTTTGATGGTATTTACTGCTTATGAACGCTTCCTTCAACAACATGACTCGTTAATTACAATCTTTTGTGTTTGTCCATAGAAAGAATTGTATTCGTTGAAGTCCTTGAAAATGTCCCTCACTTTCCAAAATTTAACACTTTTATCTTCAATATTGTTATTTTCAAAATGTGTCCATCTGACGAGAAGCAGGAATCTGGCTGCTGATGGGAATTTGTTGAACACGGGTTGGTATGACAGTATTCTTGTTCCAATATTCCAGTATAGCATGTTTGGGTGTGCTATCAACATCATTACAGCCAGGAAGGTTTATAATTGTGCCACATAAGTCTCTCTCCATCTATTCATATGAAGTTGTGGAGGTAATAACATCACATGAGACCAGAAATCACAGAAATAACTTCACATGAGACCAGAAGACATGGCAGGATGTGCAGAATACCCCTGTTGAAAAGCAGAGGTGCAACAGGTACTCTGAGAGAGAACTCTTATCAACATCTGAGGCCCGAGACTGTTCAACACGCTTCCGCTACACATAAGGGGCATAACTGGCAATCCCCTCACAGTGTTCAAGAGAGAACTGGATAAGCACCTCCAAAGGATACCTGATCAACCAGGCTGTGACTCATACGTCAGGCTGCGAGCAGCCGCGTCCAACAGCCTGGTTGATCAGTCCAGCAACCAGGAGGCCTGGTCGACGACCGGGCCGCGGGGACACTAACCCCCGGAAGCACCTCAAGGTAACCTCAAGGAGGTAAATCTTTGCAATCAACTGCAGTTGCAGTCCACCTGTTCATTTCTTTTACAATGTGTTGCAAGAGTGCCTCATCAAAAAGTCCATGAAAGAGTCTAATTTGCACATTTTGTTATCAACAACAAAGAAATTGCTCACACCAGTGTTTGAATCGTCAAAATTTAACAATTGTAGTTGAAAATCTTCACTAGAATTCCACACACTTATTATTTATGGCAGCACCTGTTGTGCATGTATACTCGCCTAGTTGTGCTTGCGGGGGTTGAGCTCTGGCTCTTTGGTCCCGACTCTCAACTGTCAGTCAACTGGTGTACAGATTCCTGAGGCTATTGGGCTATATCATATCTACATTTGAAACTGTGTATGGAGTCAGCCTCCACCACATCACTACCCAATGCATTCCATCTGTTAACTACTCTGCCACTGAAAAAGTTCTTTCTAATGTCTCTGTGGCTCATTTGGGTTCTAAGTTTCCACCTTTGTCCCCCTTATTTACATACCACCCATGCTAAATATCTTTATAGATAATATCTTTATCTACTCGGGCAATTACTCTGAGACATTTATTGGTAGTGATTATGTCTCCCCTGGTTGATACCTGGTTGATGGGGTTCTGGGAGTTCTTCTACTCCCCAAGCCCGGCCCGAGGCCAGGCTCGACTTGTGAGAGTTTGGTCCACCAGGCTGTTGCTTGGAGCGGCCCGCAGGCCCACATACCCACCACAGCCCGGTTGGTCCGGCACTCCTTGGAGGAATAAATCTAGTTTCCTCTTGAAAATGTCCACGGTTGTTCCGGCAATATTTCTTATGCTTGCTGGGAGGACGTTGAACAACCGCGGACCTCTGATGTTTATACAGTGTTCTCTGATTGTGCCTATGGCACCTCTGCTCTTCATTGGTTCTATTCTACATTTTCTTCCATGTCGTTCACTCCAGTACGTTGTTATTTTACTGTGTAGATTTGGTACTTGGCCCTCCAGTATCTTCCAGGTGTATATTATTTGATATCTCTCTCGTCTTCTTTCTAGTGAGTACATTTGGAGGGCTTTGAGACGATCCCTAACTCTTCTGTTTTCCAGTGTCGTGAGGTTTAGTTCCAGAAATTTTTCCTCGTAACTCATACCCCTCAGCTCGGGGACTAGCGTGATGGCACACCTCTGAACCTTTTCAAACTTTGTTTGATGTATGACTAGATTGGACTCCAGGCTGGAGCCGCATACTCGAGTATTGGTCTGACATACGAGGTTTACAAGGTTCTGAATGATTCCTTACACAAGTTTATGAAGACAGCTCTTATGTTTGCTGGCCTTGCATATGCCCCTGATGTAATCCTTTTGATGTGTGTGTAATTACCTTAGTGTAGTTACAGGATGAGCTACACTTGTGGTGTCCCATCTTCCCAGTACTCTAGCCTCCTTGTAACTCTCGTTTTTCAGTTCCGGAAGCCATTTTGTAGCATGCCTTTGCACCTTTTTCAGTTTATTGATGTGCATCTTGAGATATGGGCACCATACAATTGCTGCATATTCCAATTTTGGTCTCACAAAAGTCATGAACAGTTTTTTAGTATTTCTCCATCCAAGTAATTAAATGCAAGTCTGAAGTTGGAAAGCGAAGCATACACTCCAGATGAATACTGTACATTGTTAATTGCACATTGCTAATTCTCACCACAATGCTGCTATTATTAGAATCTTGGTCACTAAATCCTGTAAATGAATCATTTTCCACACGTTTATTTTGTAAAGGAACACGAGAGGTCGTTTTCAAGATTCTTAGACGGACCAAACAATGACAATGTGCTGTAGTTACCTACCTAGTGCTTTGAACAACTAGAACAGCATTGTGTTTATTGATATTTGAACATTGTTCAGATTCTTTTATCACAGTCAGGCTCTTCTGTAATACAATTATCGCTAATTAAAAGCAGTTACATATATTTTAAAAGTTTTAGGCGATGCTGTGGTCACAATCTGAACAGCAGTGCTGTTAGCTCATGCTGCATGTGCCTGTCTTGTTTGCTCACTCAATACTAAGGCCTTCACATCTGGCAATGGTACCCACGATTTGTTTTAACCTCAGTGCTGCACGGCTTTTATTGTGACATTCTGTTGGTGCGCCAAAATTTAAGTGTTCCCTTCCCCCTCCAAATAAAAAAAAGATTTCTTTGGAAATTTGTAAAATTCCCTTCCCTGAATATGTACATGTTTAAAAAATGTATATAAAAAAACCACTTACTTTCGCTGTGGCGACATGGAGAAGTATTTTTTTTTTTTATATATTATTTTCTACCACAGACGTGGCCACACATTTACAATGCTAACCAGCATATATACATTTTCTTCTGTCCTCCATGGACAGGGTTAGAAATCAGTCAAACATATAGTTCAGGGATTTATTGAACAATCAACCACAGAAGGTGATTCGGTACTTTTAAAATGCTAAGCTAACCTACATACGTAAATACCTAGATACACAGATTTACGTATGCCCTACATAAAGTGATCGAAGTGTCATTAATGTGCATTTACAAAGGTGAAATGCAATTCTGATCAGCTTCCGTATGTACTTTATACACATATACATACACACACACATATACGTACATATACATATATACATTCATATATACACACACATGCATTCACATACATTTGTCTCTTTTACTCTCAGGAGAAGTAATACCAGTATCAAAAACTGGCATTTCTTTCCTGTGTCTATACAGTGCCACACACTCATGTCTTATGTTCAAGCAAGAACTTTGTTAGCAAGGGGCTGGTATAATAATTGTAAACAATGTGCCCCTTGTTCAGCAGTGGTTCCATGAGCATCTTCACCAACCTGCCAGAAAACCTGTGGGGACCTTGAGCGGGCATGTCGACATCTGTACCGGAATATAATATCATGTCCATCATCATTCTGGTTTCACAGTTGCACAGTACAAAGAATTTGAGGCTA